GTAACTAAATTACCTTTTTGATAGTTTACTTAGTCAACAATTATGGTTGGACAGTTGCACAACCTGACATTTTTAGATTTTGGAGGCAAAAAAGAAATTAAAACGAATTTTTTATGGACGCAGTGAAACGCATGGATTCGTTTACTCACCTTTTTCAGTCGACACCTTTTTTTTTAGGAGCTACTCGCGTATTTTAACAGTTTGCTCGCTTACATTCTGCGGTGAAAATTTGATGGCTGACGGGTCTCGTTTTGACTGAACACGACTGCAGACGGGTGTTGTTTGGTTTCAGCGTTCTCCGGGTGATGTGGAGTCGACTCCGAAAGAATCGATTCTTCGACTCTCATGCGTTGGAGTCGACGACTCAGAGATTCGAAATGCTCGACTCTTTGACTTTTCGACTCTGTCGACTGACTCACATCATCCCAGCGTGCTAACTCATCACAGATATAAAGACGACACATTTATATCATATCACTGTGATTTCTAGCGACTCAAACTGCTTTTTTAAGTTTAATTTCCACTATAGCTTTGAATCAGTTGAGGAGTCGACTCCACGAAACATTTCACGAACTCCAGCTAATAAACTTTGCCTCGAGTGTGAAAATAGTAAACAATGATTTATATTTTAGTACAATACCTAGCTAGGCCAACTTCAAATACGTTACTTAACATTAGGTCAAATTAAAGATATTATTCAAGGGTTCTTTAGTAAAGTCAGCGGTTCTATTTAGAACCCTAAGTTCTGTATAGAACCATTTTATGCTTAAATGGTTCTTTGCATGGTGAAATGGTTCTTCAGATTGATGGAGAATGTGCTGTAGATGGTTCTATATAGAACAATTTTTGTAATAGGTTCTATATAGCACCAAAAAGGGTTCTTCTATTGTTACAGTGTGAAGCCTGGTACAAGAACCCTTTTTGGTGCTATATAGAACCCTTTTCCAAAAGGTTCTATGTAGAACCATCTACAGCACATTCTCCATCAATCTGAATAACCATTTCATGATGCAAAGAACCCTTTAATCCTGCAGAGGGTTCACTGGGTGTTCATGGTTCTATATAGAACCATTTTCTTTACTAAAGAACCATCTTTTTTTAAATGTACATGTTACAAACGAGCTACAGCATTAGCTAGCTAGCTAGCTAGGAAGCTACTAGCCATCAGAAAAGAACAGATTAAAAAGCAAAACCATCAGGTTTTAATCCTAATGGTTCTAAAGGTCTTTTTTCAGCGGGGTTGCATATGGTTCTGTGTAGAACCTTTTTGAAAATAGTCCTATATAGCACCACAAAGGGTTCTGCTATTGTATACAAGCTTGACATCATAACTATAGCTGAGCCCTTTTTGGTGCTCTTTAGAACCATTTTTCAAAACAAAACAACCGTCTCCATCGATCTGAAGAACCATTTTTGCATGAAATGGGTCTATTTAGAACTTATGGTCCTAAACAGAACAATTCCCTTTACTAAAGAACCCTTGAAGAACCATCTTTTTAAGCGTGTAGATGTTACAAATGAGCTACAGTGTTAGCATTAGCACAACTAGCTAAGCTACTAGCCATCAGAGAGAGCAGTTTAAAGAAATCAGCTGATCTGACAGACGATAAGACGGTGGTGTAAATTAATAACTGCGCCTTTCAGAGGAAAATTAGACCAGCGATAAAGTCAGCGGACATGAAACTGAGAAAGGGGGTCAAACAGGCCGAGGGGGGTTTGTGGCAGCGCCGCATCTCAAAAACTGAGCGACACTGGTGTCAAAAGAGCACAGAAACAAGAGTGGTCATAAATATTAGCATACTAACTTCAGAGCATTGTTCTCACCAACAGTGAATATATAGCATACAGGAACTGTAAAATAAACAAATACTAAAAGCTGTTATAGTGAGCTGGCTAGAAGATCCAAGCCTAAAAGGATGATACACTGAAGCTGCTATTTCACTTTGCTGCTTGAAAAAGATACGACTTGGTATAATTTGAATGTTAAAACCCATGTGTTTTAATAAACACAAGGCCTGACAAATATTTTAATTTACTGTTAATATTAGCCTGTTTCATAATGCTCTGCCCTACAGTCCCCAGCATGCACTGCAACGTAATGTGTGCTCCAATTCCCCTACCCTAAAAGCAATCTGTGGGACAGTGGTTACACCACAATTCTACACAAATATCACACCAGTCACATTACCAAACATGCTAACTGCAGTTCAACCAAACTAAACACATAGAGCATAGAAACTGGGCCCAAGTCTTAATGAAGTTGCAGCAAAGAAAGGATGTCAGGTGTCTACTTCAAGCAAATAGGTGGGATTAAAAGACTGAATACCTGGGAACATTTAAATTCTGAATATTTCAATAGTTTTTATGTAAAATTTTAATGTTTACTACAAAGGCCTTTATTTTACCGTTGAAGTTTTTGCATAATTTGAATAAACAATGGCCAGTTCGGGTTACAGAACAGCATTAATTAAAAATTAATAAAAACATTTTTTTTTCTGGCCCACAGATTTGTTGAGATTTTTTAATATGGCCTCTTTTACTGGTTGAGTTTGACACCCCTGTATTAAAACCATTGAACTCGCTTATGCATTACAGGAAATCGAACTGCAGTGCGTCTCACGCTGAATAATAACACTGTGGATGTGACTAAAGGGCTGTAAAGACATCTTGGTGTGTTTGTTTTCTTGTTTTGTATATGTGTGTTATCTTTTTTGCAGTTCTATACCTTTTATCTCTTCATCCCGGTGTGTAATAGAAGTTTATGTCACCCACCAAGGCTTCCCTCACTTGTTACTTGTTAGCTACATTATATTTTCTAAAATAAAGAAGTAAACGTCAGACACCAAGCGTGTCGTTACTGATTCATTACATTTCGGTGCAAATCTGGGTTTTTTTGGTGACTCTTCTGAGCTTCGCGTGCTGGTTTTCTTTTTCTGCTTCTCTTTGTTGTTTGAGCAGAAGTTCATTTTCTCTTTTGGTTTGCACGCAGTCGTTTAGAGATCAGTATCAGTGTCTGTAACGCTGGAGCTCGTCTTCCATAAACACACAGACGCTCCAGCAGGAATCAGTCGAATCCAGCTTCAGGCTTCAGTTAATCACAGTTCCTCTTATGCTGTGTGTATAAAAGGTGAAATGACTGTATTTTTACTCTCTGACCACAGCAGGAGTGGATGTCTCTGACCTCAGACTGACCACATTCAGTTCGGTTCAGATTGAGAATAGCATGACAGATAATTCTGCGTTTGGATCCGCAAAGCTTGAGGATTTCAAAAGAAAATGCATTTTTAGTAAATTGAAAGTTAAAAATAAACAACTGTTGAGCTTCAGCATTAAATTTGGTAAAAGTGTAAGAGCATGAATTCATCTGTCGCAATAGTCTGTTATTTTATATACAGTAATAACTCTAAATGTATATACGTATACATCTTAAATATACATCTTTTAAACTAGACATTGAAAGGTTATTTTTTATATTTAAGTTATTAACTGATAAATAATATAACCTATTTACAGTATGTTATCTGCCTTAAGATCTGTTCTATAGCTTTCTGAGTCATTATAGAATCTTTTACAGCTCATTCTACAGCTCTCTTAGTTCATCATACACACACACACACACACACACACACACACACACACACACCCCCTGTACAGACAGCGTGCTTAAATAGGGCAATATTTCTGCAATATTAGTGTTCGGTTTTTATTTATTTACAGAGTTTAACGTTTTGGAAAAAATAAAACAAACTATAAACGTTTGCTGAGGCCACATTTGTGTTTTTTAATGTATAATATTTCAATATGTTAAATTCAGCAAATACAGCTGAATCACAGCTGCAGTTTCCTCAGATTCAGAGAAACGACTCCCAATCAGCCAACAGGCCAGTTTACACTGCAGCTCAGCCAAACCCCTTTATTCTCAATTACTGAGTGTCCTGTCCTCATTCTGTCAAACCCCTCCTCCTCTCCTCTCCTCTCCTCTCCTCTGTTCTCCTTTCCTCTTCTCTCCTCTGTTCTCCTTTCCTCTCCTCTCTTCCTCCCCTGACCTCCTCCTCTCTTCTCCTCTCCTTTCTTCTCCTCACCTCTCCTCTTCTCGTCTCCTCCTCCTCTCCTCTCCTCACCACTCCTACTCCTCTCCTCTTCCTCTCCTCTCCTCTCCTCTCTGCTCCTCTCCTCACATGCTCTTGTCCTCTCCAAACCCCTCTCCTCGCCTCCTCCTTCAGTCTTCCTCCTCCTCACCTCCTTCACTCCTCTCCTCCACTCTTTTCCTTCCTTCCACTCCTCTCCTCTCCACACCTCCTCTCCTCTCCTACTCTGCTCCTCTCCTCTCCTCCTCTCCACTCCTCTTCTACTCCGCTCCTCTCCTCACCTTCTTCTCTACTCTCCTCCACTCCTCCTGCTCTCCTCTCCTCTATCTTAAGTCCTCTCCTCTTCCACTCCTCTCCAAACCCCTCTCTTCTCCTTCTCCACTTCACATGCTTCTGAACCCTGCAGCCTTTGATACTCATCCTCATACTCATCCACAATGAATATTCTAATTCCTGCCCCTTTCTCTCTTTCATTTCCCCCTCTTTCCCACATATCTGTCTCTCTATTTCTATCTCTTTTTTCTTACTTTCTCTTTCCTCCTCTCTTTTTCTCCTCCTCTTTCCCTTCCCTCTTACCTCTCTCCTCCTCTTTCTCTCTCCCCTCACCTTCTCTATTCTCTCTCTATCTCCCTCTCCCTCCTTTCTCTCTCTCTCTCCCTTTCTCACTCTCTCCCCTTACTCTCTCCCTCCTTTCTCTCTCCCTCTTCTCTCTCTCTCTCTCCCCTTCTCTCTCGCGCTCTCTCCCTCCTTTCTCTCTTTCTCCCTTTCTAGCTCTCTCCCCCCTTCTCTCTCCCTTTCTCTCTCTCTCTCCCCCTTTCTCTCTCCCCTTCTCTCTCTCTCTCTCACTCCCTCCCCCTTCTTTCTCTCCCTCTCCCCTCTTTATTTCTCTCTCTCCCCCCCCCCTTCTCCCTCTCTCCCTCTCCTTCCTCTCTCTCTTTCTCTCTCTCTCTCTCTCTCTCTCTCTCTGAGTGCTGTATGTTCTCTGAGCCGGTTGTTCTCCTGCTCTGAGCTGTGTGTTGATCTCTCCTCTGTTCTCCTGTTTGAATGTTTTCTTTGTAAGTTCTCTTTTTCTTCTTCATGGCTGATTCGCCACTCAACAACTCCTGGCCTTCCTTCTCCAAACTCTGGATGAAACGATGGTCCTTCAAAAGAGGTAGAAACAAACTAAATGGATCTTTCTGTCTCCGGCTTTGAGTGGGACATTCTGGACTGTCTCTTCTGCTTTCTTGGTCTTTACGTCTTCGTTTTCTTGAGTTAGCCTTTTGCCTGTTTTTTTTCTGGGGTTTAGTATATTTCTTAATCTTTTTCTTAATCAGTTTTCCTAAATTTAGTTAACTTTATTTTTCATAGTTTTACTAAACTAAAAAACTTTACTAAACTCTCCAGTAGTTTTTCTCAGCTTATTAAGCTTTAGTTTTTTCTTAGTTTTCCTGTTTCCTAAATATCATAAATATTTCTAAATTTCCTAAATATCATAGTTTTCCTAAATTTCCCTTAGTTTTTACTTAGTTTTGCTGCTTCTTAATTTTCCTGAGTCTCCTAGTTTTTCCTTTACTTAGTGTTTCTAAGCTGCTTAGTCTAACTTTTCCTACATTTTTCTTATTTTTTTCTCAGATTTCCTACGTTTACTGAACTTCTTTATCCTTAAGACCTTCTCTTCCCAGGTTTCTGAAGTTTATCTCAGTCTTCTTAAGATTCTAAGATTCTAACTAATCTTTACATTTTTATAATAATATATTTTACATTTTTAAGTTTAAGTTTCTTAGTCTTTGTGCTGGTTCTCCAAAGTTTCCCATGTTTCCTTAGTTTTCTTAAGTTCCTCTGTAATCTTTAAGCCTAAAGTTTACAGTTGTTTTGTTAGTTTTCTTTTCTTAGTTAGTTAGTTACTTTCTTATTCTCAAATTTTGTCCTATTTCCTAAATATCTCGATCTTTAAGTCACAGTTTTGTTATTTTTTTAGTTTCCTAGTTTTCCTGTTGTCTTAATTTTCTGTAGTTTTTCTCTCTTTATTTATTTGTAAGTTTTAGTTTGAAATCACTTCCGTGTCGCTGTTGCAAAGTTCCATTGTGATAGTTTACAAATATCTGTGGGGCTAACCTACTTACTCATGTCCAGTTTCTGTCTTACTGACTCCAAATGTCTTTGGGTGCCTCACTGCCTCAGAATACTGTACGAGTCGGCAGCGTTTATGACATTTCAGATACAGCCAAAGAGTAGGCGGAGCCTTGTTTTAGCCACGCCTCTGCATTTTAGAGCAGGAAGTGAGGCTGCATCCCTGTCCATCATGACCACAGTAAGCAGTTAGATCCCATTGTTTTGAAGTAAAAGTCTGAAAATCAGTGTGGAACATTAAGAATCGTCATATTTTCCGCAGTTAAGTATTTTTTTGTGTTTTAATGAAAAATATGATGATTTTATGTGTGAACAGCTGTCCAAAGCTGTGTTTGCTGGTCATGTGCTTGAATTTCAGGACATTTAACCAACAGAGGTAGTTCAAACTGATGTTGAATAAAATCTTATCACATTAACTTACATTGAATGTGAAGAATGTTTCTCCTTCTCCTGTGAAGTTTTTGTTTTTGGAGATAAAAACGTGTGCACAGTGGGCGCCCCTGGTCAAATCACATGATTTGTTGATTTTGTAAGTGCTAATAAGTTAACACATCCTCTACAGCCCGTGTGTTGAACACAACACGCCAGATCAGGCCCGTGACGCAATCCTATCTGGCCCACAAAAGTGTTTTCATTTTCTATTAATATCAGCCCATTTCACAATGCGCTGCACTACAGTACCCAGCATGCACTGCAATGTAATGTGTGCTCTGCCTCTCCTACGCCAACAACAATCTATGGGTCAGCATTTACACCTCAATTCTATACAATTCTACACAGTTCCACACCAGTCATATCAACAAACACTGTAATTGCAGTTCAGCTGCATTTCAACCAGTATAAACACCAAACACTCAGCTCAGCGGCTCAGAAACTGAGCCCAAGTCTTAATGAACTTGCAGCAAAGAGAAGATGCCAGGTGTCTAGTTCCATCAGACAGGCAGGTTTAAAAGACTGAGCTCCTGGGGACGTTTACATTTTGAATATTTCAAGAATTCATGCAATATTTTCAAGGTCTACTACAAGTGCCTATATTTTGTTTTTGATAATTTGGTGTATTTTGAATAAACAATGGTCATTTCAGTTTATAACAAAATGTGAATTAGAAATGAAATAAAAACGTCGACGTTTTCTGGCCCGTGGATTTGTTGAGGTTTTTAAATATGGCGCTTTTAGTGGTTGAGTTTGACACTCCTGCTCTACAGAGGACTCACTTCTGCACATTTCAGTGAATTTCATTTGGGTAGAGCTGCAAAAAGGGCCTGGGTTCGAATCCCCAGCCGGGTTACCAGGGTCCTCTCTGTGGGGAGTTTGCATGTTCTCCCCGTGTCTGTGTGGGTTTCCTCCCGCAGTCTAAAGACATGCAGTCAGGCTGATTGGAGATGCCAAATTGCCCCTAGGTGTGAGTGTGAATGTGTGTGTGTGTGTATATATGTCGGTCTGTCTGCCCTGTGACAGACTGGCGACCTGTCCAGGGTGTTTCCTGCCTTCCACCCAATGACTGCTGAGATAGGCTTCAGCTTCCCCCCGCGACCCAGGATGATAAGCGGCTTAGATAATGTGTGTGTGTGTCTGTGTGCTAAAATTAATATACTGGGCGAAAGAATTAACTGTGGCCTGTGCAAAAGATACAGCACACTTATATTTTGTATTTTTTCCAGTTTGTTAAACAGAAATTGTGCACTAAAGTGTGTAGGAAAGCATCGTGTTTACATTTGTCATTTAAATATAGTGTCTGAATACTTTTCTTGTGTTCATTCATGCATATGTGGGTCATTCTTCATCTGGAGTGGGAATTCAGGTGGATACTTTTTAAAAAAATCAATTTCTTTCATCCCAAAACTAAATAATCTTAATATGTACATTAACATCTCATATTATCATATATGCAGAAAGGAGAGCCTAACTCCAAACATATTTTACAGTCACTGGTGTTGTATGAATTTGGTGTAACACCAGTGACCAGGATTTTGTAAACTAACTGACTCTAAAAATTTTAAATCAGTAATAAAAATGATAATATGGCATTATTTTGACAAAATATTAATTACCCAGCTATTAAAGCACAAAACACTGATGACACATAGAAGTTATGTCCTGCCTGATAAACAAAATTATTAATAAATTAATGAAATATAGTGAGCGAGTGTGACTCACCTTCTCATGCCTTGAGCTGCTTCCTCTCTGACGAGCCTCGACCCAAAGAGGCAGTTTAATAGAGCTGAAAATACTGTGTTAAAATGTAAAATAAAAATCCTGATAACACCAGTGACCAAAATCTCTGTGACAAATTTTTAAATAAAATACATATTTTTAATGTATTATAATGTTAATGATATAAAAAGTAAACATGAATCTGTTTTATACAAATTCCTAATTTAAACCTCATAAAAATATTGTTTTATATTAAAAAAAAGTTTCTCAGCTGTTGAAAATTGTGATGAGCTGTTTTACAGATGCAGAGCGACTATGAAACAAGATTAAAAGAGAGAAAAATCAGAAATCATAAGTGAAAAGTGTTATTTAATCTTAGGTCAATTGTGTAAATGTACACACTGACTTTTGGAGCTGTGACTAATATCTTAAGCATCTTTTTAAGCCCTGAAACATGTGACATGGTTTCCCGCTGCAGATGGAGATGCAGTGTACATACTATTATATTATAAAAGACATTATGTGAGTAAATGTGAAGTGGCTACATGTGCTGGAAGTTGATTCGATAACAAAAACAAACGTGCAAAAAAGTGTCTGTTCCTGCTGGCTGTGTTCCACACTGAGCTGCACATGTTCGGTTTCTGTTTCAGGGCAGTGTGAAGTGTGAACTGCATGTAAAGGAAGTGTTTTCTCACTCTGCCCGTGCTGCGAGCGCTGAAGCTGCTGCTCATACAGTGCAGGAGTGTGAGTGTGTGGTCAGGCTGCTGTGGTTGGACACCAGCTCTGACCTGATGACACCCTTGTGCTTTGGCGCTGATGTTGATGTTGCTGGTCATGCGTCAGGCAAGCAGCTGCGGTTAAACACTGCAGAGAGAACTAGCGCTCAGCTCTCACGACCATCAGACCGCGCGCTGTCGGATACAGTCAGAGTCGTACTGAACGCTGGGTCGTCTCTGTTGGGCGTGGCAGTCGTGTGATGAGAACGTGCTGCAGTTTTGAAGTAAACGGTTCTATCAGTGAGGTGCAGTAGTGGGTGTGTGTTTGGTGCACAAACGCTGTCACTGCGATGGGACCCTCACAGACTCAGTACCTTTAGATCGGGAACATCACTGTAATGTTAAAGCTATTAAAGCTATTAGCCACGAGAGGCTGTGGGTTGCTGTGATTTTACAGCCTCAGGTGGCTTATTGCTTTTATAAAATGACGGCCAACATAAAATAGGATAAAACACATGACTTTTTTCAGAAAATAATTTATGTTATTATTAATAATAATCAACATGAACAAGTATTCCGCCAAGAAATGTAGTTCCTTTAGAGTATGGTATTGTTGCCAAGCAACCATGGACTGAATGAGGAGAATCGGTCGCCCATCACTGTATATTGCGGCCGTTTCATGATTTTTTTAAAGATTTTGTCGTATAACAATGACTATATGATAACACAGCACTGTTTAATGCAAAAACCTAACTTTATAAGTACTTATTGGTCACCAAATCACCACCACGAGTCTTATTTAGGACCAATCCAGCGGCGCCCTCTTTTCTCGCTGGGTCTGAATCTCAAATGGCTCCCTGCTCCCTACATAGTGCACTACGTAGGAGTTTAAATACTGGATCCTGCAGCCCAACAGAGCAAAATACAGCTAAGAAACAGTCATTTGGGATTCAGACACATCCACACTCGATAAATGATGCACTATTTGGTTGTAGAGGCTACAATTTCTAAACGCTATTTAGGGAATACAGAGCCGTTTGGGATTCAGCCTGGGTTTAATACGACTCCTGACTGAAACATGAACGTTTGAAGTGTGTAAGACATTCAAGTGACATTATTTTGACTTTTATACTGCAGTTTTACAGTGAATCATACTGTAAGTACTTCAAGTCAAACCTGTGATATTAATGATGGAGTTGTTTAGGATGTTGGCTCTTTTAGCCTGTTAGCTAGCTGACCAGCCTAGTTCTAGTTAAGTTGTCAGCCTCTCAGTTTAAACAAAAAAACAGGTTCTTACTTCATCAGTGCACTCGGTGCTCCGTGCAATCAGCATGAGAGTCAAAGAATAATCCATCAACAGCACAAGAGTTTTTCCGTGCTGCGGCGCAGTGATACGCAATTCAGTCACTGTGAGGCGTCAGAGGTGCGCGTATATCGTGGGTTTTACAAATGCTTCGAACGCAGCTCAGCCAATCAGATTTTAGGACCAGAACTATCTGTTTTATAATAGAGTTTTTACAACATCGTCATCCCTGTTTTTATATTTTTTTCTATTTTGTTTTCTCCTAAAACAGTTAATAACCGCTTAACGTACAGACTCTGTTCGGACTCGGCTGTAAGGAATGTGCTGTCAGTTTTACACAATGACTTTTGATCAATTTTATGCGGAATATTTAAGGTTATAATAATTTCTCTACAGGTTTTTGTGGTGAAGTCGTCTCGCAGTTTGAATTCCAGCTGATGATGTCATCTTGTGTTTGAAGCTGATTGGCTGAGCTTGTTTAAAGTGTTTCTACTGTGCACTGATTTCGCTCTCCGCCTTTTTATGGCTTCACCACCTCGACTACTATGTTTCTTTCTTTGCTTCTTTCTTTATTTCTTTCTTCCTTTTCTTAATTGCTGCATTTATTTCTCTCCGTTTCGTCCTCAATTCCTTCCTTTATTTTCTTCTTTCCTTCCTTTCTTGCTCTATTTTTTTCTTCCTTTCCACAAACAAACAATAGTATTAGTATAAACACAGAGCAAAACACCAAATGTCATCCACACAACAGGGAACTGAACAAAACAAAGACGATCTTCTGTCCACAGACAGGAGTGTTTTTATAGCAGCCCTGTAGGGTTTGTTGATGAGACAATGAAGTAGCAATTAAACCATCACATTTTGATTCACAATGCATGGGACCAGTTTCATCAAGAGAACACGTCACTGTAGTCCCTCTGGAGGTTCTAGATACGTCACCGAGTGTGAATACGAGCCGTAGTCTAAGCAGGAGACAGTTGTTAGAAATGTAAAACAGCGGAGGCAGCTCTGTGCTTTGTCTTTTACAAGCTTCAGACGTCTGTGTTTAATCTACAACAGCCAAAACATTTAATTTACACCATCGTTAGCTCAGCGCTAACATGATATTATAAATCCTATGGGGTAGATTTGGCATTACTATAAAGAATGTATTGTTTTTTGACTGAGTTTTGAAGTTTATTGTCTGAATTTCATTTATTATTAATACATGAAAATAAACAATTTTTACCCCTTGCTATAAAGTTCGATAACAGTAGGTTATGGTTGCCAGGCAACACATCAGTGAGAGAGTATTCCATGAACAGCACAATAGATAATCATTTCACCTGTTAGTATAGAATTCACCGTAAAGTTGTTTTGAATGTGGCTCATCCAATCAGATCTTAACACCGGAACTTTCCATTTTATAAGTAAGGAAACCTTCCCATGGATAAATATGTGGCTGGTACTGTTAGTTGTAAAGGCCTTGTTTACTTTCAGCCTCTCAAGTCAGCAAGTTGCAGTTGTAACAGACTGAAATGTCTGGATTTAGCCGGTCCTAGACCAGTGTCCATCTCCACAGAGGACGGTGAGCTGAGCGTGTGCTTGTAAAAGCCCGAGAGGTCTTTCTGTTTAGCCTTTCGCAGCAGTAACGTATGGTGTCAGGAGCCAACCATAAAAGGCTATTGGCGCATCACAGGCATCATGGCGGAGATGTGGTTTACATATTATGATACAAACAAACTCCCCTGTGGGACATTGTCATCCGTCTGGAGCCCGGCGCTGATTTACGTCTGAAAAGATCTACTCTGGGCTAATGTTCATGTACTGTTTAAAGTGAGCCGGCTTTGGCAGCGGCCCTGGAGGCCCACTGTGGGCGGGGCTTATGGGGGTCTGCTTTGTGTCCTCCTTCATGTCACCCTCATCATCGACATTATGAAGTCTGCACACAGAGTGACTTCCCCAGTGCTGCAGTAAAGCTCTCCTTATTCAGTTCTGGACACGTCTTTTACATAACACCACTCACACTGTCTGCTAGCGGCTATAGCTAATTCTAAAAGGCCTGATTCTAGAGGTCAGGAGGTCATACAGGCTGACTGGCCCCTAATTCAACCTAAAACACTCATTCATTTTAAGAATGAACAACACCTGACAGTGTGAAAGCGTTCAAACTGGTGATGCATTCTCTGATTTCTCTGCTCGCTCTCTTTCTGGACAAAGTTTATGCAAATGGGCTGATAATAATAATCTGATTGGTATGTGGGGCAGAAACAGCTTGTGTCACCCAAAGGCACTGGAGTCACATCAGCTGAGATTCAACACTCAAACACACATCGAAAGGATATAAGGGTTGACAAAAGTATGTTTTCAAAATGTGGGATATTATAATGTTAGCTGAAGTTAAAAACATGGCCACTAACATCGCTTGTGTTTTAGTGACACACCCCCAAAACAGCCATTAGTTGTCATGGGAATGTCCCCTTAATGCAAATTAGTAGTTAAATTAGTAATAAGTAGTGTTTGTGACTGAATTATGCCACTGATTGAACATTCATTGATATGCTATCAGTAACCCATTCAGACAGGGTCAAAACGCTACCTAGCACTTAGACAGTACGTAGGGAAAGAGGGGTGGGCTTAAACCTGAAACTGCACATTTTTAAAAAAAATATAGAAAAAAAACAACATAAAAAACAAGCTCCACTGTAAAATAAGCACACATAGGACTTTACTACACTTCATTTATTTTAAAAGTTCAGTTTTTGTATTATTTCTGACAGTTGCAGTCAAAGCTACACTATGTAAGATTTGAGAATTTGGAGACCTCTCTGGTGGAAATATGTAATTGCATGCATCGTGTGGAGGAACATTTATAACATGGTTTGCACTTCAAACTGATAATTGTGAGCACATTGAAAGAGTAGTCAAAGAAAACTCTGTTAAAACTTGGTGAAGGAGGTATCTTTCTTTTTTTGAGTCTGTGTGTGTGATATTAATAGATAGTATACACGTATAATTATATATAATTTTAAAATGAAATATAGTTATAAAATTATGTATAGTTTTAAAACAGAACAATAAAATAAAAAGCCTGGAGACAAGACGGGGTGTGTGGAGTCAGTACAACTTAGAAAATATCATTTCAATGGATTATGGTACAGTTATGTTCCCTGACTATATGTAGACTATATTCTAACTGTATATAGAAATAAAACATTAACTTTACTACACTTCATTTATTTTTAAAGTTCAGTTTTTGTATAATTTTTGACAGTTGCAGTTAAAGCTACACTATCTAAGATTTGGGGATTTGGAGACCTCTCTGGTGGAAATGTGTAATTGCATGCATCGTATGGCGGAAACTTTATAATGTGGTTTGCACTTCGGACTGGTGATTGTGAGCACATTGAAAGAGTAGTCAAAGAAAACTGTCAAAACTTGGTGATGGAGGTGTTTTTCTTTTTTTGAGCCTGTGTGTGTGTGATATTAATACATGATACATACATGTAATTATGTATAATATAACAAGCAAACTTCAGACACCAACCATGCCAGCTCAGCTGATTGATCTTATTTGGGGTGAGGGGAGGGGTGGACGGTGCGAATTTGATTCCAAACTATTCCTTCAAAAGTCGTTAGGCCTACATCATGTGTGAGGGACAGTCACACAGTAGCCGTCAGTTACACCGTCATGTGAGCTGCGGAAGCTTTTAGAGTGCAGCCGGTGGGCAAAACCTCCAACCACCCACGCGTCCACACATGAGTTCACAGCTGTGTTGGGCTGGAGAGCTGCTAGAGCCGCCAGCGCTCATTTCCTATAACAAACAGTAGATAGTGAGGACTCTTAAATAAACTGCTGCTTCCACGTTATAACAGATCGAGCGGGTAATGTTTACGCTCCGGCTGCTTTGCCTCAAGACTGCACTTCCATTCCTAATTAGTAAAGAGCTTTGATTAAATGTTTTGAAACTGGGTAAAATCAGAGATAAGCTGGGTCTATTGACGTTTACTGACTTTATGAGGGCAGAAATAACGGCGCCGGTTGTTTTGCAGGCTCGGAGTGTAAGCCATGCACGCAGCCGATCAGACCGACCTCCAGCACCGGCTCCTCTTCATCTCTGTCTCCGACCTCCATCGCTGAGGGATTCTTCTTCAGCGGCACCCCAGAGGACAAGGTGAGCTTCTACAGCGCTATAGTTACTCTACACCCATTTCCACAGTTACACTACACCCATTTCCATAGCTACTCTACACCTGTTTCCATAGTCACACTACACTCGTTTCATAGATACATTACATCCATTTCCATGGTTACGCTACACTCATATCCATAGTTACCCTTCACCCATTTCCATATTTATGCTTCACCTATTTCAGTACTCTCACTGGGAGGAGTGAAGTCTCAGAAAACATGTATCATTACTGGCTCAATAATATTATGATGAAGATGAACATTTTTGTAGTATTCAGAATTGTTGAGCTGAAATTGAAGAATTTGATTTGAAATCATTTGATGAGAGGATAATCCATTCTGTCAGCACTGACGTTAGTGTTACAGCTGTGCAGTATCAGATAAACAGTAAACTGTGGTGACTTTTTTAGCTAATGTTACCTCTAACTTCACAGTCCTCACCCCCAACACCACTGAGACCAAAACTACGCCTGCACTACAACTACACTACTACAAAGAATTATTCAGTATCTACTATGAATTATTCAGTAACTACTATGAATTATTCAGTAATTACTATGAATTACTCAGTATGTACTATGAATTATTCAGTATCTACTATGAATTATTCAGTATCTACTATGAATTATTCAGTATCCGCTATGAATTATTCGGTATCTACTATGAATTATTCAGTATCTACTATGAATTATTCAGTAACTACTATGAATTACTCAGTATGTACTATGAATTATTCAGTATCTACTATGAATTATTCAGTATCTACTATGAATTATTCAGTATCCGCTATGAATTATTCGGTATCTACTATGAATTATTCAGTATCTACTGTGAATTATTCTGTAACTATTGTAAATTGTTCAGCAACTACCATGAATTATTCAGACCTTTTCTATGTCTCTGTTTCAGAATTACTGTCTGGTTGAGAGTGATTTTGAGAGCAGCGTGGATGACCTGTTGGATTTGAACTCCTCTCTGAAAGACTCTGAGTATTTCAGAGATCTGCAGGCCAGCCCCAGCCTCTCTGAGACCCCCCTGCCCGTTTTATTTCCCCCCACGTGTAAACCACAGCTCCGCCCCGCTCTGGTCCTCTACGCCCCACCACCCTGCAGCCCGTCCCACACACAGTGCGACCTCACTGTCTCACCGACACTCAGCACCATGAACCTGCTGTGTGAACAGGGTGAGGTGACTGAGCCTGCACTCACTGCAGATTCCACCGTGTGTGCAGATGAACCTACAGCACCACAGGAGATGGATTTAGATCTAGAAACTTTACCCATATTGGTCAGGTCGATGTCCACTTCTCGCAGGCACAGTTGGGACGTCCCACTTTCTCCAGTGGGCTTGGGGAGGAGGTGAGAATCGAGGGGCTATCATTCATTAGGAAAGATGTTTTTTTATTTTTTATTTCTTTTCTTTTTAATTTATACGGCTCTTTTTCCATGTTCAAGAATGCTTTACATTGTATGAAAGAACAGCAGGGTGAATTATCTAATAACTTATATGAATAATTCACTAACTACTATGAATTATTCAGTAACTACTATGAATTATTCAGTAACTACTATGAATTTTTCAGTATCTACTAAGAAGTATTCAGTATCTACCATAAATTATTCAGTATCTACTATGAATTAGTATCTATTATGAATTATTCAGTATCTACTGTAAATTGTTCAGTATCTGCTATGAATTATTGGTGGGTTTCGGCGAGTTCGGCTGAGCTGTTGGCTGCTATGTGTTCACTCAGTCTGATGTATGATGCTGTGAGAATGAGGAACTACTTAATATATACTCAACACACACTGCAGGAATGACATGCCCAAACAGCAGCACACTGACCAGCCACAACACCCCATAACAGACCTTTTCAATTTCACTCTTACTCAGACTCCTACATAAAGAACACAGTGTATAACAGTTATTAAGGAGGGGTTTGCAGTGTGTTCTCAGGCTCTTTCGTTCTGTGTGTGTAGGTTCAGTCTGGACACCACCAGTATGGACAGTGATGTGGAGAGGGAAGAGGAGAGTTTAGCTCGGAGCTCTCCGCCTCCCTCGCTGTCTCACTCTCAGAGCTCAGGGGAGGAGTTCACTACGTCTCTAGAAACAGAGAGCTCCAAAACATTAGTAAAACATCCTTTATCTCTTTGATATGTCATTAATGTTTTAATATGTCCTTAATATGCCCTTTCTGCTCTTAAACTGCAGGCTTATTTTTCATTAACTACTACAAAATTAATATTTATTCAGTAACTACTATAATTTATTCAGTATCCAATATTAATTTTTCAGTATGTACTATGAATTATTCAGAATCTGCTGTAATTTATTCAGCATCTACTATAATTTATTCAGCTGCTACTATGAGTTTTTCAGCATCCACTATGAATTATTCAGTATCTACTACGAATTATTCAGTATCCACTATGAATTATTCAGTATCCACTATGAATTATTGAGTATCTAGTATGAATTATTCAGTATGTAGTACAAATCATTCAGTACCTACTATAAATGATCAATTACTATAAATTATTTCACATCCACTATGAATTGTTAGGTTTGATATTATTAATATGTCCTAATATGTCCTTAGTCTGCTCTGCTCCAGTCAGGTGAACCTAACTGACCCTTTTCAGCTGCAGCAGCATAAACACTGAGTGGAATGTTCATAAATGATAGTATCGTTCTTTGTGGTACGACGGCGCTGATTTTCACTGATTTTGATTTTAATCTCAGCTGCCACCCACGTCGGGCAGGACTGTGTACGCCAGGTCTGACATCCTGGCATCAGAAGAAAAGACCCGCGCAGAGAAAGTCTCTCGCATTGTGGAAACTTCCAAACAGGCTGCCAGGGCCGCAGGAGGTCAGTACCACACACATAAACCACAGAGGATCTCCAGTTAAATTTATATAACACATTCATATCATACTCTGAAAAAAGAACGGCTCCTAAATGCTTCTTGATTTGGACGTTTGGTGCTGAACAAAAAACCTTTACATTATCTGGATATTCTATAAAAAAAATGTTGATGTAACTCTAGAGTCAGAATTGTTCACAGTGGTGGTGATAGGAACCAGACGTCCACCTCTAAAAGCTCCCTCACAGAAAGTTACTACATGAAATGGTTATGAATTCACTGCCTGATGACTGAGACACTGTTTTATAATAGTTTTGGTCTAAAAAATATTTTTTAAATCAATTTATGGTGGACGTTGCATGACAAAATAGTCCCCAAAGAAATTTACTACTATTTTACCATCGTCAACATCACATT